TAGTAACATAGTTATAATCACGTTTTACCTGATCATAGGCTAAATATAGTGTATATATTATGCTTTTGGGGGCTTGCCGATGAGGGTTCTTGACTAGTTAGCTTGAATTTGGTCGTGACCATCATACGTTGCTCCGAGGATGACGGAGGAGAGCTTAGCATCTTTTCACCGTAATCGAAGGAGATTACCTCGAAAACAGCGTCAGCATGTATTGTCCAGTAAAGTCAAACGACAGCTGGTCAGAAGGAATCCGCCATCGTCGTGAATCGACCTTCGAATATTTTAAGCAAATACTCTAACTCTAAATGTAAGTAAGCTCAGCAAAAACACTATTGTCTTTTCGACAATCCCGGAGCAGAAAGGGATATGGTGTAGGCATAACCTTCATTAAAATTTAAATTTGCTCTCTTAAACGAGGGCATTTCCGTGAAGTTAGGTGAAGTCGTTAACGCATCTAGACCATACTCATCTTTGACTAACTTTGAGTCCCTCGATGAGTTCTGAGGTTTGGTTGAGGTCAAAACCAAAGCCCACCCAGGAAAATATTTTTTGTTTAGCAATGCATTTCGTAATGTATATGAACAGTAGGTCCCACTCACGTTATTATGGGAAAACTTGGATCAGAACCCAACACATATTAAAACAAGGTAAATACTCGAGTAATCTACTGGCAGTCTTAAAGTCTATTTATAAAGGTAATATCTGTTCTTTAACTTATAGCTTTTTAATATTTTATCCAAGAAATCGTTAACATTGTACACATAATTAATAAACAAGATGTGAATAATATTACGGAACAAAACATGGAATGCAAACGGGTCGGATTAAAGACTATTCGAACTAATGTAATTGTAGAAGTGAGTTGATGCTTAACTTGATGAGCTAATAACCCAACAACTAAGGCTTCGCCCATTCTATATTTAATTAGGAGACTGAAGATTAGAGATGATCGCAGAGTAGTCATCGGGAGAATACTTGACCTAATTACTTCAACACGCTTTACATTTTGGCATTCTAGTTAGTGACCAAGCAAACAGCAATCTTTGACAAATCACTCCCCCGGTGAGACATTACTTTGAACCGAGGTGCTATCATGCATAGAGATAGACAAACGGTGAGTCCGCGCGATAGCGAAGTTCTGGTCAAGTGAGAGCTTTATAAACACCATTGAATATGATCAATAGATATTTCATTGTCGAAGAATCGATATGACCTGTAATCAGGAATAAAGTCCTGTAGACCTAACGAAAGACTTGAATACAATCATTCAATATATTTCATATTCAGTTTATTTCTATGGCTTCTCTAATTTTTCATTTACATGCAAACATACAAAAATCAGCAAAACGACAAGCTTAAGACCATTCAATCTCGTGTCCCGTTTCTGCCGTGTGCTCAGCAAGCTCCAACTTTTGAACCCAACAGCTTTTGTGCTAAACTACCGATTATCGAATGGGGCAACACAAACATGCACATACAAATACAGACACAATCATAGGTATCGAAATTAAAATGACCGTAACTGACCAAATCACTTTATACTTCACGAGATGTAGAGTATATATACCAATTTTTATGGATTTAACAATAAGTTTTCTTGACTCGATAGCTTTAATTCTGTTATGTCGATGATACGTTGCTCCGATGATTTTCGTCATATGACGGACGAAAGCTTAGCACCTTTTCACCGGAATTGAAGGAGATTACCTCGGAAACATCGTCAGCATAAACCTTCTAGTAAAGCCAATCGACAGCTGGTCGAGAGGAATCCGCTGTCGTCTTCTGGTGGAACCGACCTTCGAATCTCTTGAAACACTTTCACTCGAAATGGAAGTAAGCTCAACAATGACTCTTTGTAGACAACATAACTGACCTTCCACTTCGACTGTGAGATTGATAAATATATGATAGCATATTAAATTATCACAGCGGCTAATATAAGGAAAGCCCCTAGGGATCTGTGAAATGACCTAACTGGAATCGGGAGGCTGCCCATTGTTGGATTTTTATCAAGCCCACATAATCAATTAAAGTACGGGTAATTTCAGCTAGTCCCCATTGTTCTATCTAATGTACTAATACATTTTTTATAAAATAATTGTATTTAGACTTGAATAAGTGACATAACAGGCCAAAAACTCAGCATATATATTATTTATGAATCCCTCCCAAACAATCCTTTCTTCTAAATGAAAATCCTAGCAACCATATAGTAAACAATACTGGAATAAGAAAAAGATGAGGAGTAAGATAGAAGAAAGAATCTTTTACGGTTATATACCGGTCAAATGAGCTAAAGCAGTTGGTGGTGGTGGAGGAGGAGGAGGAGGAGGCGGAGGTGGAGGAGGCGGAGGCATGCCAGAGTGAAGAGTTCCAACAGGAGGAGGGACACCAACAGGTGGAGGGGGAGGGGCAGGTGGTGGAGGGACACCTAAAGTAGAGGATAATGAAAGAGAGGCCAGAGTAAGTGTAGAGGGCACTACAGACGGTAAGGTAAGCAGACCAGGATTGGTGTTAGAAGTAGGGGTTGTTATAACAACATTAAGAGGTGGAGGTGGAGGAGGAGGAGGAGGTGGAGGTGGTGGAGGAAGTTGCAATTGCAGCTGAGCTTGCTGTGCACGTGCTTTTTGTATCTCCAAATCTCGAAGCATCTGAGCGGATGAAGATTGGTTATCTAACTTGAAAGCGAACTAAAAATAATAAGAAAAATTAGACATCAAGAAAAGCAATATAAATATAACCTTATGCCACCAAAATTTTCTCACCTGCAGAAAAAATTGTTTAGTTTCTTTATTCCAGTGTGTCCACATCTTTTTAGGATCCTTATCGACTTCTCGACTAGGTACTTTGAATGCAATCGTTTCATATGGCTCGGCAGCAAAAAGAAGATATTGCCATTTTCTATCAGGAGGCTCTATCCTCTGCTCATAGGCAGACATAAAACGATGCCTTGGCGTGACCCCAGTAGTTTCAGCAATCTCAGGATAATCAATCTGAAAAAGCATTGATTGTTGCCCAGTATCAGGATCCTTCTGCTTAGTAACCTAATTTACCCATCGTGACATTAAAAAGAATGATTAAACTATCAAGTGAAGTATAATTTTTAAAAATAATCAGCTTAAATTTATGTACATTAAATACAAAAGAAAGTAACGAATTAGGTACGAAGAGTATTTTTAGCGAATTCTAAAGAAATACATATATTAGCACAATTAAAGGATATTCAAAGAACGGCTTTTCCATCGGAGGCAGTTTGGACCTTGCCTAGGTCTTATCACCATTGCCAGGTGGATTTTAATTATGACAGTGCAGTTTTATTTAAATTCTATGTACTAAGATGCTTTTGCTAAGATGAGTCCCGGGTCTAACGATTTTCGAACAAACGAAAGCCCAGCCCGTCTTTTGGGTTGGAAGATGTCTCGTGGACCATAGCAACATGAACATGCCAAAAGGCTGCTGTATAGCGCAGGTCAACTCGCATATTTTGGTGAGATTAATCTATGAAAGTCTTCCTCATGTGTTTTTATACAAACTGAAAGATTTTGCAACAATGCATTTTAACTGACAAATTAGGTAATAAGCTGTATCGCAGTGTAATAATTGTAGTTAGCCTAGATCGATTAAGATTACGAAGGACAGGTGGGGAATTTTCCCTAGTAGAATACGAGTAAGCATCACATAAGGCTTGTCCTGGAAATAACAAATTATAGAATCATAAAATATATCTTTAATAACAATATTTATATCATAAATAGCGATACAAATGAAAAAAGTAATCTGTGATAATTATAATTAAAAAAAACTTCAAGGTGTGGAGAAATTACAGATTGCACTAACTACACTAAATTAAACAGATGGGATATTCGTAGAGGGTTAGTTATAGAAAAATTCACCTACAAGTACATTATCAAGCCTTAAATTGGTGGCTTTTTCTCATCTAGAGTC